ATTCAGGGGGACCCTTCCCCCCTCCCTCAATCGAAGAAGCATCAACCCCTGGAATGCTAAATGTCTATGGAGATTCTCTGCCCTCCAGGTTATGGTTGTCCCAAAGGTGCTTTTTTCAAGAGACCACTGGACTTTCCTGGCTTTTTTTTCTCTGAAGACATTTTGCTTCCCATCCAGGAAGCTTCTTCGGCTCTGACTGGATTGTGGTGGGGAATGGAAGGATTTATATCCCTACATACAGTATCTCTGTTTCTATATATATTCCTGTCTGCAAGTAATGTAAATCTTTCCATTCTCCGGTCACCTAGTCCGAGCAGAAGGAGCTTCTTGGATGAGAAGCGAAACCCCTTCCAAGGAAAACAAGAAACGAGAGGGTCCTTGGTGCTCTCCGAGTGTGCTTCTTTTCTTGCAGATGTTTCACGACCCAGCCAGGTAACATCATCACAGCTGGAAGGGGATGGGGTTTGGGTGGAGGGGGGGGAGGAAGAGGAGGACTGTGGGGTCATTGGTGCTCCCTGAGCTTGCTTGGTCTCCGAAGTGAGGCATGGGAGGAGTCACACATGGATATTAACACAGCCCTTTTGCCCTGGAGACTGAGGTAAAACTTGAGGCCACACCTCCATTCCTCTGACCTCCCAGATTAACCTCAGTCTCCGGCCCAGAAGGAGTGTTTTACCTGACTCTCCCTCACTTCAAAGACTTAGGATTTTCTTACAGGAATTTTTCTTTTACCTTTTTTTACTTTTAACTTGGATTGCTTCACCCCTCCTCTGCCATGCTCAGCGCTACTCGTTTCAAGCCTTGCAGCTTGCTAGCGCAAACGCCCCAAGGACCCCACAGTCCTCCTCCTCCTCTTCATCCCAATCTCACTCCTTCTAACACTGATGATGTTACCTGGCTGGATCGTGAAACATCTGTTAAGAAAACCACCAAGCTCAGAGAGCACCAAGGACCCCACAGTCCTCCTCCTTCTCCTCCCCCTTCTAGTCCTGATGATGTTGTCTAGTTGGGTCAGGAAACGTCTGTTAAAAAACCCACCAAGCTCAGAGAGCACCAAGGACCCTCTGGTTTCAACCTCGAGTTACAAAATATTTTCCTTTATTGAAAACCAGGAAAGTCCAATTGTTGCTTGAAAAAAGCATCTTTGGGATAACCCAGGGCATGGATTGACCGCCCTCATACCTGTCTAGCTTTTCTGGTGTGTGTGTGTGTGTGTGTGTGTGTGTGTGTGTGTGTGTGTGTGTGTGCGCTAGCTTTTCTGGTGTGTTTGTGTGTGTGTGTGTGTGTCAAAAAAGGTTGTGTCTGTGAAGATTCTGGTGTGTGTGTGTATCTCTCTCTCTCTCTCTCTGTGCAGGCTTTGGATGGAGGGAAGGGGGGAAGATAGCTGCTCCCATCTCTGCCCCATTGCTTGGCACTTCTCTAGGGGAGTGGGCTACGGCTGGGGTGTGTGTGGGGGGACACAGGCAATGGCCCCCTGGGATGTGCCCTTGAGGTGTGAGCTGCAGAAATGGCAGGCAGCACCTTCTCCTTGAGGTAGTCTTAGTCATCAGCCCAAACCCCCCACCCCGCTCCCTCCCCTCCCCAGTACAAAAAAAAAATATTCCCCCCCCTCCCCGAAAAAACAACAACACTGTAACTAACATCTTCACATTCTGTAAACTGCGAGGGAGATGCCCCCACATACCCAAAAATTGTGAGGGGCGGGCGAGGGGTGGGGAAGGGGCGGAAAAAATAATGGTGCTGGGGGTTGAAAAAAAATCATACATTCATCTCTGTCGTGAAATAAATATTAGAGAAAAATGAGTCAAAAATGAAGAACGAGGAAAAAGAAAAAAACGCACACGCAAAAAAAAAATCACCCCCACTCTTCACAAACACACACACACACCGACAAACAGCCAGACACAGGAACGACATTCTCTTCGTCCCCAAGGATTCTGGGTAGCGAAGTTTGCCACTGCCCTGCGGGAAGCGGTTGAGATGGTCCCTCAGTCGCAGGGCGTCTGCTCCATTCTTTCCTGGGGTGTATGTGTGTGTGTGTGTCTTGGAGGGGGCGTCACGGAGCTCCGGCTTCATTCCTTGTTCATGGAGGCTCTACAAGAATGCAAGACGGCCTTGAAGAGGAGGGGGAGCTGCTCCAGAGGGACGTTCACCATTTTTCCTGGCAAGGCAAGAAATCCAGCGTGAATCGCAGCCCCCATACCCGCGTCCCATCGGGATGCCAACAGCTGTAGCCCACCAGACTTTATATCAGCTATGACCAGGGGGGCCTTTGCCCAGGTTCTCCTGGTGCATCAATTGCGGCCCTACTTGGATCGGGAGGCACTCCAAACGGTCACTCACGCCCTAGTCACCCCAAGGCTGGATTACTGCAACATGCTCTACATGGGGCTACCCTTGAAAAGTGTTCGGAGACTCCAACAAGTCCAGAATGCAGCCGTGCGAGCGATATTGGGTGTACCGAGGTACACCCACGTTACACCTATCCTCTGCGAGCTGCACTGGCTACCTATTGGTCTCCGGACACAATTCAAGGTGTTGGTAATTGCCTTTAAAGCCCTACATGGCTTAGGGCCAGCATACCTCTGAGACCGCCTACTGCCACATTCCTCCCAACGGCCAGTGAGATCCCACGGGGTGGGCCTCCTTCAGATGCCGTCAGCCAGACAATGCCGGCTGGTGGCTCCCCGGAGGAGCGCCTTCTCTGTGGCTGCTCCGACCCTTTGGAACGAGCTACCCCCAGAAATCCGGACCTTGCCCACTCTCAT